AATCAAAAATGGGAAGGCAAGAAGGAAAAGAGAGAGAGAGAGAAGTAGAAGAGATGAGAGAGGGAAATAAATACACAAAACCATAGCCCTGGCTACCTCAGGGGAGGAAGGCGGCAAAATTAAGCCATTGGCCTATTGCGAAGTTACATCTGATCTCTTGGGAGCCACTCAGATAATACATTGAGGGGTGCTTTTATAAGAACCTAGATAGACTGACCAGAGCTGGATTTCCAACAAATCCCAGCTCCCACTCCCAGGTCCTTAACCCATCCAGTCCCCTTGCCTAGCTACACTGTTCGTGTGTGTGTGTGAGGATATCCTTACATGCTGGTATTCAGTTCTGCCATTCCCAGACATTTACTTCCCTGCCCAAGTTCGAAAGGCGCTCTCCCCCCCGTGCCAAGGGGCTGTGGGAATCGGCGTGACACGTGCCCCCGAGGTCAGCCTCGCTTTTATTATTATTATTAATAATAATAATAACGATCAGTAGAGTCAGCATGGGCAAGAGACAAAGTGAGGTTTTGGGTTTTTTTTTTTATTTTCTCGTGCAAGTTTCCATGGAAACTGTGACATCACTGCAGAACCCTGAACGTCCGGGCCATGCAGAAAGGATTTAAAAAAAAAAAAAGAAAGAAAGGAAGAAATAAAAGCACCCAGATGGGGTTTCAGTGAGGCTCTGGACAGTTACCTAGCAACGGTACAGTAAAATAATGTCCTGTTGTTGGAGAGAGATTGTTACAGGATGTTGGGAAGGAATGTGAACAAAATCCGGGCTCAGGCGGGGAATTAACAGAGCCAAAGTCTCTTTGTTTGCTGGGGCCTGGCTCGGGGGGCTTATTAAAGCCTATTAGTGAGACTAATAAACAGGGCCAGGGAAGCTGAGTAGTAAATGCACCCATGTGTGTCCCACAAGAGTAGCCTCGACTGAACAGAACAGGCCTAAGTCTCAGTGACAGGTTAGATCCAGGTTGGTCAGTTCAGCATTGGTTTATTTTTATACAAACCAGGCCTAACCATGGCAGTGAGGCCAGGCTGTGAGCCAGCTGTGTTAGACCCTGGGATTTCTTGCCGGGGTGTGAAGGGTGTCGTCTTCCTCCGGGTTTGTTCAGCACCTAGGAACTAGAATCGTAGAATCATAGGGTTAGAAGAGACCGCTAGGGTCATCTAGTCTAACCCCCTGCCAAGAAGCAGGGGGGCCTTTCAGTCCTACCATTGGGCCTGCACTGGGTGATGCAGAACTGAGCTATTCCAGGAGGCAAGCTCCCAGGCAAGCCAGGGGAACATGCCAGCAGCTACACCCCTTAGGCAAGTTCAGTGTCCCCCCATGGCTGGCCCACTCTGCTAGCCAGTGGAGGGGGAAAGCATAGGTCATGGCTCCACCGCCTTCCCACCTGAGAGCACCTACAGGAGCACTGCTAGGGTGCTGCTATCGCACTCAAGCGAACATGCAACTGAGCACTTAGTGTGGCTGTGTGTTCCTATAGTGACTGGCCCCAGCAAAGATAAATCCTGCTACTAGGTGACACGAAGAGTTAGATTCCTTCGGCTCAAGTGGCATGGGCTGAAGTGCTGGTTTTGAATGCTGAAGGTTCAGCTCCCGCTGACGATCATGATATCCCTACCATGTTACATCTCGGTGCTCTAACGGATGCTGCCGTGCAATGGAGGCTCAGTGCTGGAGCTTCTTTGCTGCTATGTTTCAGCACAGCATCCTTGAGAGTCAGGTTCCTAGGCATAGGATTCTGGGGCATGACACTGCCCTAGCAGGAGACAAGGAACTCCCATTGGCTTCAATAGGGCTTACTCGTACACAGCTAGGGAAGAATAGGTACCTTAGATGCTGTTCTGTAGGTCTCTGTGTGCTGACCTGTAATATACCAGAAATAACGTAGTCATGTCTCTCTGCTGGAGATTCCCAGATACAGTGATCTAATATTGTAGAGATAATACAATTGTGTCTCAATATCTAATAAGTGTTGCTGCAAAGGACAAACAGCTGTTTCTTCCTCAAAAAGCTCTTAAAACGGTGCTGTATTTGCCAGGGAAGAGTAGCCGGCTATTCGCCTAAACCCCAATAGGATACTTTGCTCTAGATATGCTTAGCAGGTCAAATTCCACGCTCAGTTTCACCTGTGCAGTCCTCATTGACCTTATTGGCAGTGGCACAGGTATAACAGCACACGTTGACCCTTCTACTTCTGGTTTTCTGTGGACTATGATCATTCTTAATAGGGCATTGCCCTGACGTGGTGTAACATCCCACAGTCGTGCCATGGACGAAGGAGACGACTGTGACACTAGAGATGCATTTTAGATACCATTAGCACTTGCACACTTATTCTGAAGATAACAGTAACCAAGTGCTCGACTCTTTAGCTCAATCCCTTTGATTAGGGCATATATGACCTTGATTAGGCCATGCCCAAGTATGAACCCTACACTTTGTCCAACCTTCATTGTCTTGGATATGTTTTTCACTCTGGATACACATCTAGTTTGTCTACTCTTGTATGTTGAAGTTCAGCATGATACACCTAGCAACTGACAAGCCCCAATGCTATTTCTTTATCTGGGTTTAGATCTGGTGAGGTAAATCGTTATGTTTCTTCAAACATGGAGAGCAATCCGATACTTCAGATGAAGAGAGAGCAAATCAAAACTAAAGTGTCCGTGAGAGCATGGTCTGTGTCGTTCTTCAGCAGCAGTTTGCACTGAGATGGGCTGCTTGTCTCTTCAGGTGGGGGAATCCTTAGAAAGAAACAGAGGTAGAGCACAGAAAACAAAGGCATTTTAGTGCAATACCCCATCTAAATGAATAGAGAGGAATGTAAAGTGTGACATTTTCCCTCTTATTCAGGAATACACACGCAGACATGCACCACAACACAAAATCAGAGACACACAGCTGTGAAATTGTGGTATGAGGGCAAGCTAGGCCTTGGGATTGTTCTTCCCTTGGCCAAACATGGAGGCAGGTCCTATGATAATTGGTTTCTCTCATCCCTTCTTTTGGCTGCCATCATTATGCCCCCCCCCTCCCCCGCCCCCAGCTGTCCTTTCTTTTCCATCCACGTGCCATGAAAGGGGTGTGCCACGCCCTGCGACAGGCAGCGCTGAAAGCGGGCAGTGCAGCTGGCTTTCCCATCTGTCTTTAGAGGAAAGGCCTCATATAAAGGCTGACAACTCAAGGCAGAGTGTCAGAGGTGAGGCCAAATTTGCTTCTCCTACAGGTTCACCACCCCACCCCCCGGCATCAATGGAACTGCACGGGAATAGCTGAGAGAAGAATATGGCGCATGCTGTTTAACCGTAGAGAGGCAGAATGGCCTATGTGTAGCGCATGGGACTCGGGGGATCAGAGCTGTCATCTTGTCTCTGTGGTTGATTTGCTCAGAGTCATCCACCAAGTAACATCACTGCTCAGTGCCTCAGTTTCTCCACGTGTAAAATGAAGATCATAACACCAAGTCTACCTCGTTGGAGTGCTGTCAGGCTTAACTGTTCCATGGTTACTTATTAAGTGCTTTGGATGGAAGGTGATATAAACAGGAAAAGGACTGTTATTCCCCCTCACCAATTCAGCTTCTCCTCCCCCCAATTTCCCCTATCACCATCTCTGTGTCAGTCCCTCCCCTCCCCTGAGCCATGGTGAAAATGCTGGGCAAAGTAGCGGTTTTGAGAAGTGGCTCTATATCCTTGCTATTAGGACCCTGTAACCCTGTTTTTTGTGCCTGGCTGAGAGCACCCTGTGCCTACAGAGGAAAACTGTGCAGTTCCAAGACTGGCCTGGGGAAGGAGCTAGCACACAGAAATAGGCCCTGGCCCAGCGAATCCAAGTGGGACTCGAAGATCCAGAACGCGCTCTTTCTTATGTGCACAAGCAGTTTTCTCTCTCTCTTCCCCTGGCCGCCTCATTCCAGCCCTGAGCTCAGACAGTTGGCAGTATTGCTCACATGTCCCCGTGGTGCCACGCGATGCCTCTTTATTTTAGTCTTTCAGCGCTCGGCCTACCTTCCTGACAGCTGGGTGATGACTCATAAAATAACAAGTGCATCTTCTCAGGGGTCTGAGTGCGAATATTTGAGCTGTGCTCAGTTTCCCTAGGTGGCAAGATGTCACTAGGGTAGGGGAAAGACAGCCGCTGTCAACGGGGCCAGAGGAATTCTAGGGGACACCTCTTCTGATCTTCCCGCTTTAGGAGCATTAGCACATGCCATTTCTCTACATCTCAGTGTCAGCATCCTCTGGAGTGGCCTCTTGCTGGCTGAGTTTGAGTCTTGCATAGCAGCAGCCTGTTGGCCCAGGATCCTCCCATACGTGGCATCTCGTGGGCACATGTAGCCGTGGGAAGGGAGTGCAGCTCGGAGGTGGTCGTCCGGCATAGGGAAAGTGTCCACCCAAGAAACTGCTTGCCTGACACACTAAAGAGTCCTCAGCCAGCCATGGGGGGGGGAGTGCGCACTGCATCAGAGATCAGCTCAGGGGTGATCTTGCAACTCCTGCTTCCCTGTCCAGTGGGGGCTGTTGCAACGTGGCTGCACAGGGTGAAGGGTGCAGGATGAATAGAAAGGTGAGTGCAGCAGTTTGTGAGCAGAGAGGGTGCAGTCATCAGCCCCTTCACACACTGCTGGGACCAGTCCTGGACTTAGGGCAAACAATAGGCAACAATAGTTAGCCTGGCAGATGTACTTAGGGGCCCCTGTGGGGTCTGGGGGTGCAGGAACATACACTCAGCTGCTCCCAGTGAGCTCAAGGCCTGCACATGAATGCCGCTCTGCAGAACCCATCACAGAACATTGGCAGAACTAGAATTGGAGCAGCAACTCTTCCACCCCATGCTCCCAGAGCTGGGATTGGGTTACCTGGAGGGCGCCAGCGCACAGCACCCACCGGAACCCAATCCCAAGTGTAACTGATCCGACATTATCAATAAATGATTTGTAGCCCTGCCCCAGGACTCCACCCTCTGACCCTGCTTCTCTCACGGTTTCTCGTTCAAGGTTTATGAATCACAGGGTCCCGTCCAACCGGAGATACCAGCCAACGGAGTATGAGCACGCAGCGAACTGTGCCACGCACGCCGTGAGTCGCCTTCGCGTTGCCTTGGGGTGTGGGGAGGCACGTCAGGCAGGAAGACAGAGGTGTATGGGTCTCGGCTCCCATTGTGTTCCCAGAATGGAAGACAACGCTGGGGCTTGCTCCACTCCCTGTTCCCTTCCACGTGCGTTCAGGAGCCATCACAGGTTGAATGTAAATTACATTTAGGGTTGCATCTTCTGACTGGAGCTCAAGGGCTGGGATGTGCCCAGCTGACACCTGGAGTCTGCACACCCAGCCATTGCACATGCACATGGCCAGGAGCTTGTTTGCAGGAGCTCGCCACGTCTCCTTTGGTCTCTGGTGGCTTTTAAGGAACAGTCAGGGCTCATTGTAAGTGACTCAGATAATCTTGGGTGGTAGTTTGGGTGAAAGTGATCATGAAATGATCAGTTGCCCCATTCTAAGGAAAGGAAGGCGTTCGAGCAGCGGAGTGAGGACAATGGACTCCAAAAAAAGCAGACTTTAAGGCTGAGGTGTTTAATGCCTATTTTACTTCAACTTTCACCAAAAAGGTTAATGGTGACCAGATCCTCAATACAATTACTATTAACAAGGGGGAAGGAACTCAAGCCAACATAGGGAAAGAACAGGTTAAAGAATATTTAGATATGTTAGATGTATTCAAGTCGGCAGGGCCTGATTAAATTCATCCTAAGAACTAAGGAACTAGCGGATGCAATCTCAGAACCATTACCAATTATCTTCAAGAACTGATGGAGGACGGGTGAGCTCCCAGAGGGCTACGGAAGGGGGAGCATAATTTCTATCTTTAAAAAGGGGAGCAAAGAGGAACCCCGGAATTACAGAGCAGTCAGGATACTAGAACAAATTATTAAACAATCAGTTTGTAAGCCCCTAGAGGATACTACGATTACAAGGAATAGCCAGCATGAATTTGTCAAGGATAAATCATGCCAAACCAACCTGTTTTCCTTCTTTGACAGGGTTACTGGCCTAGTGGTTGGGGGAAACAGTAGACATGATATATCTTGATTTTGGATAAGGGTTTTGACACATCACAATCTCATAAGCAAATAGGGGAAATGCGATCTAGATGAATTTACTATAAGGTGGGTGGACAACTGGTTGAAAGACCATATTCAAAGAGTAGTTATCAATAAGGCTACGATTTAATCAAGGGTATTTTTAGTAAAAGTCATGGATGAGTCACGGACAAGAAACAAAAAATCACGGCCAATGACCTGTCCATGATTTATACCATAAATACCCCTGATTGAATCTTAGGGGGGAGATGCTGGGGGGGGGAGCCCACAGCACCAGTGGCAGGGGGGGAAACCCCCGGGGGGCCAGCGGCTGCTCCGGCCACCGCCGAGAGTGGAACCCCGGGGGGCCAGCAGCTGCTCTGGCCACCGCCGAGAGTGGAACCCCGGCGGGCCAGTGGCTGCTCCGGCCACCGCCAATGGGGAGCCCCAGGGCCAGCCGCTGCTCTGGCTGTCCCCAGGACCACTGCTCAGGTGGTTCCCGGGGCCAGCCGCATTGGCCGTTGCTCGGGCGGTCCCCGGAACCAGCTGCTCAAGTGGCTGCGGAGCTGCTCCAACAGCAGCTGGTGTGGCTGTCCCCAGGGCCGCCTGAGCAGCTATCCCCGGGACCAGCTGCTTGGGCGGCCCGGGGGTTAGCCACACCGGCTGCTGCAGAAGTCACGGAGGTCGCAGGAAGTCACAGAATCTGTGACCTCCATGACAAACACGGAGCTCTAGTTATCAATGGTTTGCTGTTGAACTTAAAGGGTGAATATAGGGGGGCCCTCAGGGGTCAGTCTAGGTCTGGTACTCTTCAATATTTTCATTAATGACTCAGATAACGGAATGGAGAGCATGCTTATAAAATTTGCAGGTGGCACCAAACTGGGAGAGATAGCAAGCACTTTGGAAGACAAGATTAGAATTCAAAAGGACCTTGACAAATTGGAAAATTGGTCTGAATTCAACAAGATGAAATTCAATTAAGATTAGTGCAAAGTACTACACTTAGGAAGGAAAACTCAAATGCACAACCACAAAATGGGCAATAACTGGTTGCCAGATGGTAGATGGCTAGATGGTAGTATGCTGAGGGGTTACAGTGGGTCACAAATTGAATATGAGTCAACACGGTGATGCAGTTGCAAAAAAGGCTAATCTCATTCTGGGGTGTATGAACAGAAGCGTTGTACGTAAGACACAGGAGGTAACTGTCTTGCTCTACTTGGCCTTGGTGAGGCCCCAGCTGGAGCACTGTGACCAATTCTGGGCACCACACTTTGGGAAAGATTTGGACAAATTGGAGAGAGTCCAGAGGAGAGCAACAAAAACGATAAAAGGTTTAAAACCCTGACCTATTAGGAAAAGTAAAAAAAACAAAAACGGGCATGTTTAGTCTTGAGAAAAGAAGACTGAGGGGGGACCTGATAACGGTCAAATATGTTAAGGGCTGTTAGAAAGAGGACTGTGATCAATTGTTTTCCTTGTCCACTGAAGAAGTAATGGGCTTAATCTGCAGCAAGGGAGATTTAGGTTAGATATTAGGAAAAATTTTCTAATCCTAAGGGTAGTTAAACTCTGGAATAGGCTTCCAAGGGAGGTTGTGGAATCCCCATTGTTGGAAGTTTTTAAGAACAGATTGGACATACACCTATCAGGGATGGTCTAGATTTACTTGTCCTGCCTCAGCGCAGGGATCTGGACTTGATGACTTCTTGAGGTCCCTTCCAGCCCTATGCTTCTAGGATTCTAAGATCTTGAAAGCAGTTTGAATGAGCGGACGGCAAGCAGGAGCTGTGACTCCGATGCTGACATAATGGGGGATCTGAGACACTTTTATAACTGGGCTTTATACATCCCTGCATCCAAGCTGATTGGAACAGGATGGGGAGCTCTCATCCCGCCAGCCAAGGAGGAGGGGAAGCTGTGGGGCAAACCCACTCCCCTGACCACCCCCTTGCTTTGACCCCTGCTTGCATCAAGGTGTTTTTTTTTTCTCCCCCACCCATTTTGCTTCATGTGGTGAAGTTATTTGGTTAGAAAACCAAAGTGTTTTGCTAAGAACTGCTCACGCTGGACACCCCTACGGTCTCCGTGAAAATGGAACATTCCTTTTTCACAGCAGGAGATGGCCGTTGTGGCAAGATAAGAGGGCCTGGCATTGTTGGGGAATGGAAGGATCTGATTGGCTGACAGTGAGGTAAGTAAGGCAATAACATGTGGCAGGGCGTGGCATGTAACATGAGGCTATCTCACCTCTGGTGCATGGGGAGGCACGAGGCTTCGCGTCCCCAGCACCGGAGGGATGGGGTGTGACCTTATAACCCACACCCGGGTGGCTGAGTGTCTTTATTTTTCTAAGCCTGGAAGTCTGTTTTTAAGCCACGCCTGCTTTATGGGCCCAATCCCACAGCCCTGAGTCAAGAAAATCTCCCACTGGCTGCAGGAGAATTCTGGAGGTGCTAGGATCAGGCAGGGCTGGACTCAATTGCAGCATCTGATATTAGGAAGGTTTTTAGAGCGCATGTTCTCGTGAAGAAGCCCTTGCCTTTTGGGAATGCTTCCCCACGACTTTGAAAATACATTGCGTTTCGGAGATTAGAGCCTGACCCAAAGTCAGTTGAAGCCAATGGGAAGACTCCCATTGGCTTCAATGGCCATTGGATAGGGCCTTAAATAAGGTGTAGAAAAGGGCCAACAGATTGCAGGTGGCATCAGAATAAGAAACCTAAAGACACCTGTTCCAGGTTTCTTCTCCCACACAGCTATTCTCTGGGGCTCTCTCAGGAGCTAAATGAAGGAGACAGAGCCTTGCTTTGGGCAGTTGCCATTCGAATGGCTGGCTGTGTTGTGTCTGACAGACGGTGCATTCAGTAGCAACTATCAGATGCTAAATATCAGGAAGAACTCCTTGAGATTGAGCTCTATGGAGTCATCTCTCCAAGAGAAGTGGTGGCAGCTCCATTGCATGGGATTGTTAAAACTATACTGGGCGCAGTAGCAGGAAATGTAAGGAACTGCCCTCCATTGATGGGGAGATAGGGTGGGTGCCCTGAGAAGCTTTCTCCAAATTTGAGTTCTGTGACTGAGTAGCAGAGTAGCAGGAGCTGAACACATCCCTGCAACTTCTGGGCTTTAGCCACTTGGCCATGCTCTGTCCCCTGGAAGCAGTATGTGAACAGCTTAGGGAAGCTTTGGGCCCTAGGCAGGTATATCAATTGGTCTTGTTTTTTCTAAATCATTGTGAGAAGCCCTTTCTTAGTCAGCAATTAGGCCCATGGATACCAGCCAATTGACTAGGCCATGGAGGACCAAATGGTGTGGTTATCATGTGATAACGCCATAGCTAGGAGCCAATCAGATTGCTTCATTTTTCCAACACCCATTTTGAAAGCCCTAGATGACACCTTAGAAGCTCATACATTTTGTATGGCTATGGGTGACCTGGTGGTTGTGCTGTTCCTCCAGGGGCACTCGCTAAGGTACAGACTGTTCAGCAGTTTTGACTAAGCAAACTCTGTTATTTATCCCCCTTCCCAGACCCCCGGGGTAAATTGGACAGGAAGCCTCTTTTCTTAGATTTACAACAGGATCCTCTTCTTCCTGCTTGGTGGGAATGAGGCAAATGAAAAATAAAAGGAATGAAGGGAAATCTGTGATCTCTAAGCACATCAGAGTAGAGAGAAGGGGTAGCGGGAGAGGGCTATCTCTGACATGTAATGCCCTAAGCCCCTTCTGGGAGGGGCTGTCTCTGATCTCTACCCCTCTGTGCCTCCTCTGTCCCATATGGGGAGGGGACTTTCTGCACAACTCTAATCTCAAAAGTTTCCTGAGCCCCACCCTTGGAGGGGGCTCTGCTCACAGTCTTCTCTGGCGGCGATGTTGGGGACTGGTGTACCTGTTGTGGCAAGTGGGGTCTGAAATCGTGTAAATAATACAGAGCAGTGCCTGTCCCAGCCTCTGTCCCTCAGCTGGGCTGGACAGATTCATCCATAGATGAGGAACCATCTGAAAGGAAATCAGGGATAATAGTTATGACATAGAATAGTTATTCTATAAAAGCCTTCTCTAAATGAATGAGCCAGAGACAGCCAATGGAGTTCTTCTCCCTTCCAGTTCTGGATCATCCCCAGCATACTGGGCAGCTCCATCCTCTACATCCTCTCAGATGACCACTGGGAGACCATCTCAGCCTGGATATATGGGTTTGGCTTGTCTGGCCTCTTCACTGTCTCCACCATCTTTCACACCATCTCCTGGAAGAAGAGACACCTCAGGTAGCAAAGCCATTTGTCACTACAGGCCCTGTTCTCTGGGAGCAAATGGAGAAGGGCTGTGAAGGCAGAGATAGAAACAGCCAGGTAATTAGGACTTCCATGGGCAGGACAAAGAGCTAAAAATGACACACACACACCCTCAGCATTTTTCTGATCAGTTTGTGTGGGCTTCTACCTCCCCATTAATCACGCCAGCACCTGTGCGCCCTCTTCTTCCCACACTCTCTTACTGAACACACAGTTATTAGGGCTAGTTGAAAATGATCCCGTCAAACTGTTTATTAGCTCTGCCACCCACTAGCTAGTGTGGGTGCAAGCCACTGCCTTCTGCTGGACAATTGGGAAATTGGGGTTTCAACTAAATGAAATAGTTCACAAAAAGTATCTTCTTTCTGTAGAAAATTTAGTTATTTCATTGAAAAATCTGTTGCCCCCAAACCGAAATATTTTGGCCAAAAATAAAAAAAATTGAATTCAGAAATGCTGCTATGGTGCCTCATGGGAGTTGCAGATCAGTTGCCTGATGTCCCCATTCTCCTCTATGGGCTAAGCTCTCATGATGCACTGTGGCTAGCAGTTCCTATGATGTTCTGTCTCTCCTTTCCAAGAGGAGACACCTTGGTGCATCATGGGAGATGTAGTCTGACTGGGGAACCTGACCTGTAGAGAAGGATGGGAGCAAGAGGCACCCAAATCACAATCCCCATGTCGCATCTCAGCAGAATTTCTACATCAAAGTATTTTGATTTTCAGACAAAATATTTGTATATTTGAATTTTTACTGAAAAAAAATCACAGTTTTCCACATTAAAAAAAAATCTACCAATTTTAATATTCATTGTAAACTGGGGAAGGGATTAGATACTGAGATGATTCATAAACCTCTGGAGACCTAAGTGCTAGCCCAGTTTAGGATGTCATTTATAATAAATCCTTAGCTATTTGAGAATTCTGTTTGCCTCTGTTCTGCACCATGTGGCTTCTCAGAGATGGCCTGATATCAGATCCTCATCTTCCACAGGCCCCTACTTCTCAAGAACTGTTAGTGGTTAGCCACCTAGGGCCTCTGACACACAGCTGAGCAGTTCTGATTCTTTTCAGTAGAGGGCAGTGGCTCGCACACAGTACTGTATCTACTTGATAGCCGAGTCAATTCAACCTGATCCCCTATGACCACTTAAAATATCCAGAGAATTGGGCTCGATTGGCTATCTCTGGTGACAGGAGACTCCTGCTAGCAGCAGAACAGGGATACTGCAGGTCAGCATCAAAGTGCAGAGAGGCAGAAGAAGCTTTGCACAGCACCATATCTAGTGCCCATCCATGCTATCAAGTCTTTAAGAATCATTATATTCATCTCATTGATCAACACGTTGCATCTTAGCATTTATTTAGTTCCCCGAATAAATCCATTTGCTCCCCCCTGGCTGGCTCAGCATGCTATAACTCCCTGCATGTGTTTGTCTGTCCCCGCTCTAGAACAGTGGAGCACTGCCTGCATATGTTTGACCGGATGGTGATCTACTTCTTCATAGCAGCATCGTATGCCCCCTGGTGAGTTCACTGTGTAATAGCAGGCTGGTCTCTATTGGGGTGGAAGAGAAGGAATTCAGAAAATAGTCTCACACTTTACATCCCGATTAAACGTTTTAAAAAATTAAAAAAACATCTTGAAGCAAAAGTCCCACTCCTGCATTTTAGTCCTGGCTAAACTCTGTCTGAAGTCCATGGCTGTACATGCTCAATGCCTCTAAAAACCAGGCCACTGATTTAGGTGCCTAGGTTTGGATTGCGGGAGCTAAATGGACACCCAGATTTGAAAAGTCTAGCCCCTTTGCCTTGCCTGAGGCTGGACAGCAAGCATTTGGCCCAGAACGCAGGAATTCCTGGTGTCTCGGCATTACCAACCCAAGAATCGTGAATCAGGACCTGAAGAATCCTGAGATTTAAAAAAATAATAAATGTGAGGCCTTTTTATTGGCCTTTTGAGCCTTTAGTGTTCATGGTTTTCAAGCTTCATCCACAACCAGAGCACCAGAAAGTTACTTATTTTTTTAAATGAAAGCTGAGATTCTCACATAATCACGTGGCGTCAGGAGCTGGGGCGTTAAGAAGAACACGAAATATTATAGATTCAGGAATAAAACCACAAGAGTTGGCAACAATGCTGGTCCCGTGCTCAGTCTATTAGACCACACTTTCCTAGATCACAGCACTCTCCACCCACTGCTCACACAGTACCACAAGATTGGCCATCAACCTTAGATTCACTCAGAACTCTGCCATAGAAAGTCTGGGGACATTTGCTTCCCAACTCACCTCCGGCACAAGCAGG